TTAATCAAGAGAGATAGATATGGAACTACAAAACAGAACAGAGAGTTCATAAATAGAACTAGTCAAATGGTCAACTGATTTTCTACAAGTGTTCCAAGGCAATGCAATGGGAAAATGATAGTCTTTTCAGCAAATGGTACTGAACAACTGGATATCCATATGGAACAAAAATGAACCTCTACTCTAACCTCACACCATACATAAAATTAACTCTAAATGGATCATAAATACTAAAACATAAAAGCTAAAACTTCTAAAGAAAAACACAGATTAAAAAATCATTACTGTCTTGGAATGGGCACAAATTACTTAGAACAAGGAAAGTATAAACCACATAAGAAAATAAAAATAAATTGGACCTTATTAAAAATTTAAATGTCTGCTCTTCAAAATACACTGTTAAGAAAATGGAAAGGCATTTGCAATCCATCTATCTGACAAAGGTTTTGTATCCAGAATATACAAAAAACTACAATCTAATACGATAAAAAAAATAGGCAAAAGATTTGAAGACACTACACATATGAATGACCAAAAGCACATGAAAAAATGCTTGACACTATTATCAGGAGATATCAATTTAAATATGAGATATCACTATATATCCAAATGAATGACTTAAAAAATACTGACAATACTGACTATTGACAAGGATTGGAGTAATTGCAGTTGATGCACCTTGTTCATAGGAATGTAAAATGGTCCAATCAGTTGGGAAAACAGTCCAGCAGTTTATCAGGTTAAATGTACACTTATCTTTTGATCCAGCAGGTTCACTCCTCAGCATTTACCCAAGAGAAATGAAATATTTGTTCACATAAAGACTGGTACATAAATGTTCATAGCAACTTGATTCATGATAACTAAACAACTTGATTCATGAAACAATCTGAATTCCCAACAACAGGTAAATCAATAGACATATTGTATTATGTCGATGTAATGGAATAGTACTCAACAATAAAAATGAAAAAATTACTGATATACACAAAAACATAGGTGAATCTCAAAAACATACTACATGAAAAAAGCCAGGCACTAAAGAGTATATAGCATATGATTCCACTTATATGAAATTCTAAGGAAGACATAACTAACATAGAATGATGAAAAACAGATCCATTGTTGCTTAGGCAGGATGGGGGCTGTGAATATTGACTGCCAAGGGACATAAGGGCATTCTTGGAAGATGATGATTATAGTTATTTGGGTATATGCTTTTGTCAAAACCTACTAAACTTTACACTTAAAATATGTGCTTTGGTTATATATAAATTGTATCTCAATTTTATCTTTGATTTTTAAAAACAAAATATATTTATATATACTTATTTTAAAAGTCCAAGAAGATACACTCAAGATAATAAAACAGTTGTATTTCAAAGGTCATATTCAAAACATTTAACAATTGGGAATTATAAGCACCAATTGGTCAGAACAAATGGTGGGCATGAACAATTGGAACAACCAACCCATGTGAATGAGAGGAGTGTTGGCCCCAGGAAACACCATTTATCAATAGATGGTGGGATTGTTGGTGCCCTTTTCTTCTTTTTGCTCATTCATATCTTCTAACATTCTATCCACATTTTCAATCAGGTACTTCAAAACAAAGGGGGGAAAATCTATCTTTAATTATAAAAAAGAAAAATGGTACCCTGTTGATATCACATTTCATACTGTTATAAAATTCTAATGGGTCTCAAAATCCTAATGGAACTTTTAAATAATAGATATGAGAAATGGTGTACTAAAAAAGCATTGAATTAGGAGTTAAAAATGGATAATGTCATAAAAATATTTCCCATCCACTACAAAGAAAATAGTGAGATATATTTTTAAACTATTTTACCATTTTAATATTTTAAAATGCCCTCCCTTTGCTCCTATTCCAGCTAGATCTCCACATAATTGGTTATGTTTACTAAGAGCCCTAGCATTTTTCCTCAAATGGTCCAGGCTCTGAAATGCCACATTGCTCAAAATTCATTATATAGCATTTTCCAATGGGTATCTTGGCCTAGGTCAAACTTCAGAATCTGAGAAAACCAGGAGATCAAATGATAATTATCAACCCTGGATAAATTTTTATAGCAAAACGACAGCCCATGACCGGAGACTTGCTACTGCCTCCTCTTAGCGTAACTACCTCTGTCTCTATGGCTTTATCACAGCAACAAACCTTTGCTCTGGGCAATTTCTTTAGAGGTAAGCACAATAAAAACCTGTCTATGAGAGCAGTTGCTGAGAAGCTATGATCAGCAAATAATGACCAGGGAGTCCCTTTTATCATGTCTCTCTCCATCCACAGAGAAACCATACCAGCTTCCCCATCAGGCCAGTGGAGGAGTCAATGGCTGGTTTAGCAACAGGACTTCTTTCTGAAACTCTGAAAACCCCAGGGTAAAATGATGCTACTGTACAATTTCCTAATGTTGCTTTACAATGCAGCTCAAATTTGTGATTTTAAAAGCACCTCAGCCCACTGTGAGTTCACAGTTACCTTTCATGATTTGCAAATCTCAGTGTTTTTAACAACTCACTTTTGCACTGTGGCTATGGTGGTAACACCTGCACCTAATAGTTATTGCTTCTAATACCCTGGGCTGCCAGGGTGTACAGCAAATGAGAAGCAGTGGCAATATCTTCAACCTTTTCAAGTCTTAATTTACTCCTCCTACGTTTGAACATAAGCATACTGAGCCATCCTGAGCTGCCCTGTCATCTACCGGAGCCCGCGCCATCTTGGCTCATGGGACCTCTGTCATCCACAGAGGCTGACTGCCCTGCTCCATCCCATGGAGGAAAAACAAGAAGATGGCAGGTAGAGGCCACCAGGGTCTTTCCCTCTGGAAGCTCTGATTTCCGAAGGTGAAAAATCTGTCCCCAGATTACAAAAAAACATATACAGAATTTTTCGTGAGGTACCCGATGTGGCATTTCTGCAAGATATTCAACCTTAAACCACACTACAAAATCCAATTTCATCCCAACATTGTAGGGTCATAAACATTGTTTATTCTCTAATTTCAAAACACAAGTTATCTCTATGTAATAATAATAATGGCAGGTATTTGTTAAACAGTCACTATGTGCCTGATACTATTCTAACCTTACCTCTGCATTAATTCATTTAATCCTCAAAACAACTCATTGTTACGATATGCCAGAACTCGAAACCCCCATCTGCCTCCGAAGTCTTTATCATACTGAGATAGATCAAGAATCATAGACACCTTTCTCCCTAGAGAAGTGAACCTCTTATGAAGCCATTCAAGGACTCAGAAAGAAGTTGGCTACAGATACACCACAAAATGTCCCTGAATGGACCGGAAAACCTCCAAAGTTGTACATGTGTAATAACTTTGCCTTGCTTTACCTTACCTGCAAAAGTCATTTGTCTGAAAAAATACGGCCCTGAGGTCAGATATCACCAGGGATTTTCAAAAATGGAAATGGTCCCACTGTGATTCTTTAGCTTTAAGGTGCTCTTGGCAAATTCTCTAGGGTACATACCTATCCTCCACCCTCCTATACGGTACACAAAGAGTTGATGACCACACCTCACCACAGGGTCACCAGCTACAGCGCAGGGTGATTTCCATCTGTCCCTTTCCTCCTGGGACCATGCAGGAAAAGCAACAGAGGATGGTACTGCCTAACCCACTGCCCCCAGCCCTTAGCGTTTTCACTGCTGACAGTCAGCAAATGCCATTTCTGTCTCCCGGCTGCCCCTAGGCTGCCAGACCCTGCTTTGCCCGCAGGCAGAAGGACCCCTGCAGAGCAGTCCTTGACCAACGCCAGCCAGCATGGGGCTTATAAATACTCCAGCTCCCTTGCCCCTGACAGGGACAACTCTGAGCTGTGATTACATTGTCTCCAGAGCCCCCTGCAAAATGTAGCCAAAGTCTTCCACCATGGAACTTGACTTAAAATTGCATACTAGCTTGATTGCCTTCCCTTCTCCGACCTACTTCCCCACTATTAGTGGGTTTCCTGGGATCACTTCATAATAAATCACTTCACGGTCATCATTGTCTTGGATCTGCTTCTGGGGGTGAACTGAGAAAGACAGCAGAACATGCAGATGATCCCTCTAAAATCCCACCTCTCTGTATAATCTCAACAAGCATCTTGGGGTCATTAAGCCTTCTGCTCCTTGCAGTGGGAACCTTGGTCCCATAGGACAAATGGAATGATCCACTTATACTGTCCTTATCCTTGAGCTGCTTACTCCTCTATAATTTAAAAAATTGCAGAGGTCAAGTTCTTGTGAGAGAGATGACCAAAGTGTCCTCACATAATATTCCTGAATGAACTCACTTAATGAGGAAACTTTGAACTGAAGTCCACATAACTGTGGCTTCAACAGAAAGATAATACAATGGATTCAATGACTCTAAATGTTGGCCTGAAGCCTGCAAGCCACACAGATCCTTGTCCTACATAACTCTGTTCTCCAAGTGGGAGGTCTAAGAAATACAAGGCCATTGTCAGAGGACACCAGCCCAAATCCCTCATTTTAAAGTCTTGGTTCCACTGAATCAGATCCTTATGTTAGACATTTCTCAAAGTAGTTTTAAACTTTAATTACATACTCTACCAAAGCAAAGATCAAAATCTCTACAAAGGTTCTTTTTTATTTTTTATGATGAAGTATTTATTAGTTTGTCTCTTTGGAAGAGATTTTCATACCCCAGGCCTGAAAAGAAATTCCACATAGAAATCATTCTCAAAACACATTTTAAATACTTGAGAGTTTGTCTTTTTTTTTTCTCACCTCATGCAATGACTTGTTAATGAAGAATGATTTAAAAAGATTCTTATTAATAAGAAACACACTGCATTTCAAAAATATTTTTAAATGTAAAACCTATACACCGATGTTTATAATAGAGAAATTCAGATCCAAAATTTCATCTCTACAGACTGTCTAGATATGTGGTGCGTTTCAAATCAATCAATGTGGTAGTAACAAAAGATTTGCTTTATGCAACGTGTCAGCCTAATTGAATGATATAACTACAATTTGTTAATATCCATGAGGACCAAGTAGAATGTCATCACTCTTATATGTACATGACGATGATAGTTTTGTATTTCTTTTCATCCTAGAATTTGAGCACTGATTTCTCTAAATATTTAGGATCCAAGGGATTTGAAAGAGATTCCTCCAAAATGTTTCAAAGTGAATTTCACGAGCTGTTCAAATGCACCCAGCCAGGAGCTTCAGGTTAGGACTTCACTTTGGATGGCCTGTTGAGGGGAAATCCACCCCCAGTAAAACGAGGGCCCGTTGGCTTGGCCGTTGAGAATGTGTTCTCCATGGGTACTCTGTCCTTATTTCTGTAAGACAGGAGGTGAAAGTTAACTTCCTTAACATCTTTTTCCTCTTCTAAGTGTGGTGTTCTCTAAGTTCCTAGGGTGAGTTAGCCACTGAACACTGCTTTGATTAAAGCTTCCAGTTTTAGACAAGGTGGTTGTTTAAATCTAATTAGGTGTTCACTGATAACACACAGAATTAGGGAAAGACACAGTTAAATGTACCTTCTTAATGGTGATCTAAATGTGGACATAAAAGCTCATTATAAGTCAATGACTATAGACTTGAGACTTCCAACTTGCAATCACCTTCCTATTTTATAAAACATTTGTTTAGTTCCAAAGATCAGTCAGAAGAATATTTCTCTTGGCTTAGTTATAATGACTAATTCACCATTTACCAACTTTTATATTCCAAAGTTTCAGTGGAAACTTATAAATATTTACCACACACACAAGCTTTCTTCATCAAACTTGGATATTTGTAAAATACAAATTTTCCTATAACTTTAGACAAGCAGCAGTTATTATTAGAAATAGTTTAAGATACAAGAAAATCTGAGAAAGATAAATAAGATAGCACCTTTGGCAATAGATGAAGGAAAATCTACAACATATCTCCTTTAAATACACACACATATACACACATATTCACACACACACAAACACACATTTGCACACATCACATTCAGGTCTCCTGCAGAGGTAGCTTAAATTTACACAAATTCCCTATTGTGTATTTAGGGGTCTTACAGAAAACATCTTTGGAATCCCTTTTTAAAAATAAAAATTAAGCTAACAACTAAGACCAAACCCAATTAGACTTGACAACTAGAAGTGATTTACCTTAAGGGAAAGAATTCCACCTTTGGGGAAAGAATCTGGCTAGTTCTGCAAACTCAAGACCAGCCTGGGGGTCCGGGGCAGGAGAGTCAGAGGCAGGTGGGTGAGGGTGCAGGTCAGGATGGAAACATGATGAAAAGGGTGTTTTAGAAAAGTGAAAGAAGGCATAAAGGCAAAAATGGCATGAGTTGCTATTTTATAAAGAGCAAGTGTAGGGAAAACATCCATAGAGATTATTCTAAATTATTCCATTTGGAAAGAACCTGTGGAGGATTGACTAATCAATCCAGCAGTCTCTTAGCAGGATTGATTTCATTATTATTAAAAAAAAAATCATCCTCCATAAGTAGGACAAAAGCTTTAGCCTTGAAGTGGATCCAATAAAGAGGATTCTTTCTAGTACTTGGCAACATGCAAACCTGATGGCTGGCGGATGCAGGCAGCCCCCTCCCCCATCCCTCTCTTGTCTTCAGTAACGTAACTTTCCCTCTCTGAAGGAACTTCAGCTTACCGCTGCTGGCTTGGTCTGAGGTGACTGATGGGAATGACGTCTCCTTTACACTGCCTTTGTAATATATTCGTAGACCATCACATTGGCCCCCTTCAGCCTCCTCCCTTCCAGTCCACGCCCTCTCCGCACCCTGCTCTTGCCTCAGCATTCGTTCCTTCAGCACCTGAATCCTTTTGCTCTTCTCCGTAAACCCCTCTCTCTGTCTACCCCCAGTGTATGGATCTCCACCAAAATGGAATCGCCAATGACACACTAACCAGGTCAGAGTGGCTACAAGCAATGAGCGTTTTAGGGCAAGAAGAGGACAGGTAAAAGCAAGGATTCCAGAGCCGTGCTATCCGATGGAACTTTCTGCGATGATGGCAAAGCTCTCTATCTAGAGCCTAACGCTGTGTCCTCTACCTCCATGTGGCTATTAGGCAGTTGAAATGCGACTAGTGCACCCAAGGAACTGCATTCTTAATTTGATTTAGCTGTAATTCATTTTAATTTAAATATCCACAAGTGGCCTATGGCTGGGGGCATTGCAGTTTTAGTGGATGTGCCACGGGGAGGGGCTGAGCCCACAGAGGGGCATTCCTGTTGGTTCCACACGCTCTCTGTGTCCAGAAAACTGTGTGGAGGGTGTCCGGGAAGGGGATCAATAAGGTCAACAGGCCAAACTCCAGGGCCAAGTTGGGGAGTTAGTCAGCTCTAGAAAGTTAACTAACTGCTTAGCTAAGCTAGCTGTTTATAACTGTGTAAACTAGACTGCTGGTCTCCAAAACGGGTTGCATTTACTCTACAAGATGAGTAAGGTGACCCACTGGGAAGTGCAAAGAAGGTATTTAAGATTCTATTCATATTTGGTCTTTCAAAAATAAAAAAAATCTCAGTTTACTAATTACTGACAAAGTGACAATAGTATTTTGCACACAATTTAGAGAAATTAAAATATATTGGAAGTAGAAAACTATTCTAAAAATTTCATTTTAAAACTCAAAACAAATATATATTTAATAGGCATGCATATATATGGGGGGCTACAAGTTCAAAAGTGTTTTACTGATAAGATAATGTAATCAAAATGCTTGAAGGCCACTGAACTGGACACATGCCTCACATTAGAACCAGCCATCAGCACGACCCCGGTGTTCCTAAAAGAACACCACCGTGTTTCCACCCAACATGCACTGATTCACACCATTAATATCAGTGGTTCTCCAGCTTCCACGAACATGGAAATCCCCTGAGGAGTGACTGACCTGCAAATTTATCCAGAGCCTGCAGAATCCAAACATCTGGAAATGGGGCCTGGAAACCTGCATGTTCACCAAATCCCACCAGTGTATCTGAATCAGATAGTTGCCAGACCCAGACATCAAGACAGACCCACCGAAATTAGCTCTAATTTTTAGCAGGATTTTATTCTACCAAGAAGCTGGCATCTGAATGTGGAATGAGGGAATATTCTGATTTACAAGAAGGGCAAATTTTTCCTGGCAAATCCATTTGCATCGAGTTACTTTAAATAGTGGTTTGTCACTGACAAATCACAGGCAGATGCCCCTCCTTCACCAGGTCCCTGCAGTGCCCACGTGGATGAAATACCCAACTTGACTTAAACCCACAATGTGAGCCACTACAGAATTAACTAGATAAGTTGGGTAATGCCACACAGCCAAGCCAAGGTTCAAACCCACTGATTCCCTTGGGCCCACTCTCTCACCCTAGCCTTAAGCAAATGATGATAACCAAGTGAAGAGACATTTGTCAGTCCACATGTAGGTATCCTGAAACCCCAAATGTCAACCTGAGAGGGCATCATCCTCTCCTCAAAGAAGAAGAGCTCACATCACGCCCCCAGCAGATACTGAAGGCAGTTACTAGACATAAAGATGGTTCAGAGACCGATTATCTAAAACATAGGTAAAAAATGATCTGTGGGGGCACCTGGGTGGCTTAGTTGGTTGAGTGTCTGCCTTCGGCTCGGGTCGTGATCCTGGGGTCCTGGGATCGAGTCCCATGTCGGGCTCCCTGCTCTGCGGGGAGCCTGCTTCTCCCTCTGCCTCTGCCCTCCTCCCCGTCTCTCATAAATAAATGAATTTAAAAAATCTTTTAAAAAAATGATCTGTGAGCTACTCATCATTACAGTGGCACACCTGCATTCTTGGAAAGAACAGCTTTACCAAGCCTCCACCCCTTAGCAAAATTACCTGTGTTTATAAACGTGGATGTGCTTTTTGTTTGTACAAGCCTGATCATGAACCTCATTTGCAAACATTGTTATGGCATGACTATCTCCAAACCATGAGAACAGTGTTGGGGGGGCGCGCGGATCACACTGTTTCCTCTGCTCCATGTGAGGTCCACCAATGAGCAGATATTAATGGATCCCTGTTCGGGTCCTAAGGAGAGGCCTTAGTATCAGATGAGACACGCATATTGCTCTGACACAAACCACTGGGGACCTGTAGAATGTCATTTGTTCACCCTGTGCCTTAGTTTACCCCCCATGGATTCCATGACTCCGTGACTGTCTGCCAATTATTTTCTTAACAGCAGGTAATAGGCACAACACAATTAGAAGAACATTTGACTAATTCTTACTTCTGAATGTATTCTTTACGTTTCTGAGCTAGGTATTTCTTCTTTAAGTTCATCAGTTCGTTGGTAAGTTTCTCGATCTCATATTTATATTCTTGGCTCTGTGATTCATACATATTCAACTCTGAAGACAAAACCTAACAGGACAAATAAAGCAGCATTAGCAGAAGAGACTCAGTGAGGCAATATCCTTTCCTGAGATTTTTTCCTAATCTGCTGCCATTTACCTCAGTGAGGCAAGTGATATAAAACCATGCCCAAGTTTAACAGCTAATCCACACTTCTGCCAGTTCTCAAGGTCTGCATCTAGGTAAAAATCTGACTGAGGTCTGAAGACTCCTAATCCAAAAATGACAAAAAGAACTCTCAGGCCACATTCAAGCAGGCTCACATATGAATGGTGTAAAGTGTTTCAGGTATACTGTGAGCAGAGACAGAAAAATTCCCAGACATACAGTATCAAACTGCATTTAAAGTCTTTTTAAAGAGCATTCAAGGAAGTCATCACTAGGGAGAGTGATTCATTTGAAGACTATGGTAAAATTTATTCTGGAATCATCCTGCCACCACCACCACTAAGTAGGCATCCAATTTATGTGTTTTCCTAGGTTGCTGTTCTGTTAAATGTCTGTCACCTCTTTATTATGCTCTTTGGGACTCTGCACAGGTTCTTTCTTTCTCCCAGCACCACAGTACTTACCTCTGAGAAGCAGGGAGCTGATATGTGCATGGGAGAGTCTAAAGCATGTGTGATAAGAACCCTGATTATCTGCCTCTTCCACTCTGGTGTCCCATAGATGCTACTGGTCTCAGCTGAGCAGGAAGAGTGGGAATTTACGCATCTAAACAGGATGTGTAAAGCATGCCCAAGCTAGGAGTACACCCCACAGAAACCAGAGGGAAGGAAGGAAAGCTACCATTCTAAGGGGCATGCAACAGATGGATTTGTTTTTCCTCTTGCTCACTATTTTAAAAATTTGCACAAAAGGGGGATCGTTGTCTTCTGAGTATTCATCTGCCTCTGAACGCTTTCTCTTAATCGCTATGAAAATGATTCTGACTATGCTATCATGAGCTAAAGAATAGGACTTTCATGTTGGGACTTTCAGGTTCAGGTCTATTAATAGTCAAACAATTGGGAACAAAGGCTCTGTTTCCAAACAATGAATATAGCATTTCCTAAAAGAGCCCAGATAACGAGGACAAACTGGCAGACTGGCTGAGGACCACCACCTCTGAACCTCTTCCACCAGGCGTCACATTTCATCAGAGCAAAATTCTGGATTTCCTGAGTTAAAGGGTTAAAATACCAAAAAGCTCCTGTGAGCCATATAATGCAATCTAGCGCTGAGTGTGGCTATCTGACAGTGATGTGAAGACAGACATGTGCTTTTCTCATCTATACCCACTCCTGAGAAAATGAGCTTTTATTCTGCTTGGCATATACAATTGTTTAAAAGGATGAAAATAATCAAAAGATTATGCCTTGTGCAAAATTTGAAATACATCTCAGGATACTCATATGAAATAAATACTATGAGTGATAAGTTGAAAATTAATGTTCTAACTACACTTCTGTTTCATCTGCCTCTTTTAAAGTAGAAGGATGTGATTTTACAATGTCCTATTTGTGAAAGGATTGGAACTAGACGAGGAGCATGGCATCTATATTACCCCAGGCAGAAAGGCAACGATTATTACCCCCGTTGCGCAGGTAAGTGCCAGAATTCAGCCGGCGTGTGCTACATTCTGTGCATGCATATGTGTAAGACTTCCCTGACATGCCAAGAATATCTAAGTACTTGCTGAGGAGGTAAAGCTCCAGATACAATGGGAACACACACTTTTTGAGAAAACTTTTAAAAGGCACATGTAACAATAAAACATTCCATCTCCCCAGCTGAGGTTCTGAAGTCACTTAGGAGGGAATTTATGCTAACAGAATTCTAAAGTGATTTTACTTTCCTTTCATAGCAACTGATTTGAGAGATGGTCATGAAGGCAGGCCCTGGGGGCTGGAGACCAACCTGTGCTTTCTGCACATTTATTGCAGGTAGAAGGAAATAGCAAAAACCTGCTTGGGCACAGTGGTCTGCTTCCGGGGATGACGGTGTTAAAACGTTTCCTCTGTTCTTCCCCACCATCCAAGTCCTCTCATTCATCTTGAGATCATCCCTATACACGCCACCCCCCAAATTTCCATTCTGGTGCCATCATTCTCTCTCCAACTGTTTCTTTACTTGCTCACCTCCCTTTACTTGCTCACCTCCCTCTTTCAGGAAGCAGAGAATCGTGGGGTCTATTAGTCTAGCTGCAGGGGGGTAGCTCTGAGATGTGTCCTGTTCCTCCTGGGACTGGAATTCTCAAAAAGCCAACCTCTGTGGCATGTGGCATTGGGAGACCGGCTCCTTGTACCGAGACAGTGGACTTGTCCGGGTCCCTAGCATGGGGCCAGGAAAAGGCAGAGGCTCCCACTTACTTTCAGCTGCTTGGTCTTCTCCCGCAGCGTGTGGCGGTAGATCTGTAGCTGCTCTGCAGCCTCGGGACCAGGCTGCCGGGCCAGGATGTGCTTTAGTTCCACATACAGTTTCTCCTTTTCCTGGTGGTGAGCAAAACCACAAGGGAGATGAACAGCCCCTTCAAGACAGGGAAAGTGCCTTTACCAGCAAGGTCGGGAGAACTTGGGACCATCCTAAGATACTTCGGAGCGCCACACTGATCACATTCACCATAGATTCTATCAAGAGTGCATCCAGGGGCGCCTGGGTGGCTCAGTCGTTGAGCGTCTGCCTTCGGCTCAGGTCATGGTCCCAGGGTCCTGGGATGGAGCCCCGCATCGGGCTCCCTGCTCCATGGGAAGCCTGCTTCTCCCTCTCCCACCCGCCCCCTGCTTGTGTTCCTGCTCTTGCTATCTATCTATCAAATAAATAAATAAAATCTTAAAAAAAAAAAAAAAAGAATGCGTCCAAACAATCCCAGTCAAGGGCTTAGGATGGGCCCAGCATTTGGATACAAATAATACGACATATGAGGAAGGAAAAGTCTCTCTCTACCTAAACTTATGATCACACAACTGAGAGACAAGGGCAGTGATGGAAGATTTGGACAAATGTGGCCAGTAAAAGTAGGGAGTGGGGGAGTTTTCGCAAAAATGTCATTTGGATTGTTGCTTGAAGAATGAGTAGGAGTTTTTCCCCAAGCAGAGAGAGAAAGGAAAGGTTTTTTAGGCCAAGGTTCAGAGTCAGGACATGGGAGAAGTGGGTCTAGTTCAGTAGGTGCCCTGGGCCAAAGGAGCGAGTAGTGGAGAGAAAAGGCTGGGCTCGTAGGTAGGTTCCAGGCTTTGTGGTTTGGGAGGAAAGGATGAGCTGTGCTTGGGTTTGCCTTCAGAGGAATAGCTCCAGCAGGAAGGCAGAGAACAGAGTGAGCAGACCGCTCCGGGGACCAGGATAAGCAGAAGGTGAAAACAGATGGGCCTAAGACAGATAGAATGGAAAGGAGGCAGGTATGTGAAGACATTCCTGAGATAGAATCAGTGGGATTTGGGGAAAGATCAGACAAGTGAGGAAGGAAGGAGCAGGACCAAGAAGACTCCAAGGCTTATAATATGGACACCTTGGGGGCTGGCAGGTGATGGTAATGGAGGCAGGGAGGCTAGGAAAGAAGGGGTGTGGGGAAGGGGGAAGGAACTATTCCCGCATTCTCTTCTGATTATCAGTGGGGTCTGGATATGTTGAGCTTGAGGTGTTGTGGGATATTGAGAAGAGTTGAAAATGAGTTCAAACAAAAGTTCGAACAAAAGAGCAAGTTGGAACTGGAGGTGGGTCATGGCTGAGCCATGAGAATGGCTCCATCAACTAGGGATGGCGTTTGGGGTGGGCCAGAACAACGAGATCTTTGGGAGAGCCAGCATATCAGGGGTAGGCAAAGAAGAAAGATCCAGAGAAAAGGGAAAGCAACTGAATGTCCCCCAACCAGGAAATGGCAGTGTTTACACAGAGAGGCATGATTTGAGCGGTCAGTGATATCCGATGGGCTAAGAAAAGAAACAGAAGGGGGATTGAAAATGGCCTTGGGGGAGGCCTATTAGGATGACACCACTGACCTTAGAGAGTTTACAATAACACTGGGGGAGCAAAATTCACAGAGGCTGGAGAACAAATCAGAAGTAGGAAGTAAAGAAAGTGAGTCTTTTAAGAAACATGACATGGGAAGAACAGAGATCTGGAAGTAGTTTGAGAGAACAGGTAAAAAGCCAAGAAAACTAGGATGTATACATTTGTAGAACTAAAAGAAAGGGCTTGCTAGGAACCCACAGCAAATCATAATTTCATAATTGAATTTAACCAACAAACAATATAGAATTCCCATTTGTACCCTAAAGTTTAATTGCTTGTAATGTGTTTTCAGATTCTTGAACTAAAGAAACTACATACAAGAGAAGATTTGTTTCTTAGGCATCTCATTTCTGGATTCCCATTTCTCTAAACTGCAATAATTTGAACAAACATTGATAAAGACTAGTGTGTCTATTCATTTGTCTCTGTACATATTTATTTCTTTAAAGTAATTATGTTAAAGAAAAAATATAAGTAAAAGCCCTCTCGATAAATGACACATCCAAGCAAACAGAAACTAATTTTTACCTGGAGCTAAATATTCTTGGCATTGTCATCAAATAATCTGTTTTTGACAGAGAACATGAGAATCAATTTTTTAAAAATCAATAGAAAAAAATTCATTCACCACTCATTGTTACCATTTGTTTTAGATTTTTCTTCCCCCTGGCCAAATTATAGAAATTTTATCACAAATAACATGACTCTACTTTCAAAAGAATGTATGTAACTTAAGAATTAGTTGGTTGGAATAAGATTCTGGAGTAACATGTATCAAAAAACAATACTCACATTTAAGAAATAATTCCAGAAATAAGGAAATCCGAAAGCCCATGCAAAAGAAGATAACTTGAACAAATAGAATTACAAAGTGGTGGATTTTCCTTTGTTGTACAACACCTCCCATCACACCTTACAATATAAACTTCCCAGTAAATGGATGTAGCAAGCAATGGGAAAGATGTCAGGAGGTGAGTTTATTTTCAATAGCCACTTAATGCCTGCTCTGTTGGAGAAATAACACTTCTGACAAAGCTTCAAGATTCAATCTGGAGAGGGTAATAAATATGTGGAAAAGCCCATGAAACTGTTTTGTCCATTTCTTTTAGCTCCCCTTCCTCTCTACCGGAATACAGGTGGACTTGAAAAGTAAAGAATGCCACAAAGACAAGGGGGAAGCAATCTGGCTTGGGATATAATAACATCTTGAACTGAAAAGATCGTCTTACTCCAAGAACCTTCGAATGTTTCCCAGGCGGAACACTTTTCAACGGCTCTTGGCAGGGAGGAAAAAGACACAGAGGAGAGAGGCCAGAAAAAGCAAATATTGCTACCTCACTTCGTAAGTGAGAATCCCAAGGTCAACAGCAATGAATGGTGTGTCCCAAAGTCCAAGATGTGACAAGTCAAAAACCCAGTCATGATATACTCGAGAATCACTTTTCCCATGCAGTGTCTTCTCTGGGGCTTGAAGACATGTTATAACCCTGAAAGAACTTGGAGGAAATCGTGCTACGTAATTCCTAAAGGCTACGTGATACTATCAATAGAAGAATGGAACCAGAATGTGAAATCGGGTTGGCAGCCAGGGGAGAGTACGCAGAGTTAAGAGCATGACTCAGCTCCCGGGACCTAGGCCAGCTGAATGGGCTCCACCCACACCCTCTAACAGGATGTGTGATCTTCACGTACAGAGGGAACGAGACTGCCATTTAGCCCATCTTCCCCTACCTCCACTTCCTGGCTTTTTTCCAAGGCTGTAAAAGGCATCAAAATGGATTTATTCTAAAGAATAACTGAACGACTGAACAGCAAGGACCCACAAGTGTGGAGAAAAGTGAAGAAGCTGAGTGAATTACCATTAAAACTGTTGCAGTATTCAAAGTCAAAAAGTTCTAAGAGTTAAATCACCCAGGCCAAGGGATGCTTGTATGTTCATGGTGGGCGGAGAGAATACCAAATGAAACTTCAGGGACCAAGACAGTGGAAATGGGAAGAGCAGAGGGCAAAAAGAGTTGGGGGGTAGTGGCTGAAATACATTACCAGGCTTCAGTGTGCATGAATTTGGTCTGTGTTTACAATAGAAAACCTAACTGATAAAACCAAAGTGAAGGCCGGTCAGCATTAACATTCCAGCTGTGTGTATCATACAGATTTGTATTTTGGGAGAGCGTTCTGGTAATTTAGATAAATATGAAGTGTTTGATGGATTGAAGGTCTTAAGTACGATTGTTTTCCAATTTATTTCTCTCCTAACCCTCTACAAGGGCCAACCAAGCTCTTCAAACATGGTGCAGTGGTGTGTATAATAACCCCATTTAGAGACAAAGCATGCAATTCTATTATAAAGAGAATCTATCTTATGCAACAGAGAGACTCATTAGGCTGTCCAACGTATATGGTCTCCATCAGCCGGCAGCAGCAGAACCAGCTGCCTTGTAATACATATCCTGTCCTTCTTCGTTAAGCTGCATTCATTTCTTTTCTTTTTAAACCAAGTCAATTAATTTGTCACTGGGCTAGAAGCACCATATGTCAATGAAACATCATAAGAAAATCATAAATAGTTCATTATTTCCCCACCAACAAAAAATTGCATCTTCAGGTTGGCATTTCTTTATTTATTCAGAGTTTGTTCATAAGGCACATCAATATTACTTCGTAGCATGCCTCACTCTCTAAATTACTTTGTGAACAGCTATACTAGAAAAAAGCTAGATTCTTAACACCAGGAGACTAACTCTCACTTTGGCTGAGCACGACTTGTAAGCATAAAACATATTCTGTCCATCTTCGGAATGATGCTCCCTTGCAGTTGGACAGACTGTCAGACATGGTTATGGATTCTTTGGCTGCAAGAGCCTCTGCTAAGTTATGCTGGATAACAGCATGGCTCATTATTAACATTGGCTAAGTATAGTGGTAAGAAATTAATTACAGTATTAGCTTCAAATAATGCTGTCATTACACGGTGACAGTCTGTAACCCCAGATTGGAAACTCCAGACACGAAGTCACTCAGACTTCAGGTGTTTGTATTTTATCTGACAATAAATTAAAAACCTACATTCTGAACAGTCTATGCAAATCAGAGTCAGTGCTATTCTAGGTACAATTCGGAGGAAGAAATGGAGTTGCTCACAGAACTCCTTTCCCCACCGAGCTACAATTTTATATTCACTGTCTGTTTATATTCCCTGTCTTTTGCTCTGCATCTTCAACTGAAAACAGAAGGTAGTTCACATTCAACATGCACCTTAACACCTCTTCTTCCTCAGCTCGCCTACTTGAGGCAATAACTGATTAAGAGGAACTAATTTATTCTGTTTTAATCTGAATCTGTGCTTGGCAAATGCCAGTGCATTGATTCTGTTCACCCTGGATTCATCAATTTGCTTGGGCGAGCATTGCAAATAATCGCTTCACCCCGTGAACTAGCTAATTCATGTGAATCAGGCAGCTTGGCTCCTGATCCAAAGTCACAT